AACATCAAAAAGAGAGGCAGCGTGACATAAAACAAGCTGGAAGAGTCGCGGACCGGGAACGTTCAAAATGAAGAAAGACTGACTGCTGCATGAGTTGCACACGGCGGCTTTAGAGACCAAAAGAAAAGATGAAATGGAGAAAAAAAAAGAGAGCGAGAGATACATAGCGAGCAGTTAATTTGCAGTCAATAAGCAAGTGAGCACTGTAAACTTCGAGAAGGAGAGCTGCGCATACGCTAGGGAAGCTGCGAAGATGGGAAAAACATGGCATTACGATGCACCGCTAATGACCGCGCTAGCTTTCCGCGAACATCCCGCAGACTTAATTGAATTTGTCAGAGGGATTTTCGATGACTGCGTGCTTGCAACACAACACAATCACAAACACGCCATCACTCAAGGTCCTAACCCGCCCGCAAAGGAACAAAAGATCTCTCAATTAGTTGATTTTTTTTTTCTGCTGGGGTTGCTGTTATCGCAGCCAGCGACGGCAGCCAAGAACACAAGGAATCGCAATCCCTTGAGCAGAGATCTTGTAAAGCTTTATTCTTCGCCTTCCCAGGCTGTTTAGAGGCTAATTTCACAGGCAAACAGATTATGGTAATCCGTGTAAACATTAAAACACAACAGCTTGCCGTTTTCCAGGGGGAAATTACTACTTGAGAGGGAACATATTGATTCAAAACACACTTCTACAAATAACACGTGCATGAACACAAGCTGTAATGAGACAGACTTATTGAACTGTTCACCCCCCCAGCCTCTCCAATTAAGATGTGAAAACTATGATGCTTTTTAGGATGTACATTTCTGGTAGATCCATATGGAGATTATGGAGCGTTAGTTACACGCATCTCACACTAGGCTTCTACTGTACTTCAGGAATCGCTTGATAGTGGTAAATTATGATGATGATAAAGTATTGAAACTTTCCAGTGTTGGCAGACTCGCACACTTTCCTGCCGGTTTACACACACACACTGTTTACTAAATATTAAATATATAAAAATAAATAAAATAAATGAATAAATAAATGCACAGCTATCATCTGAATTAAATTTATATTAATATTGTCCAAAATAATCTAGGATTGCATTTACTTAAGTCAACTGTAGCTTTTAATTATTTACTATAACCCAAAGGCTACAAAAAAAAGAAAAAATACAGAATTAAATACTAAACGGGACAAATTAAAGTACATAAATCACTAAATAAGTATTATACATAAATTGTGGTTACTATATATGAACCAAAGTATATAAATAAATACAAACTTAAATCAAAAAAATAATTAAAATATGTTATTAAATACAAAACAGGACAAATCAAATATAAGTTATAGCAAATAACTATGAACATAAGACTATAAATAAACAAATGAATTAAGAAATAATTGAATAAACATGAATATATTAAAATAAAATAGAAAATTAAAAATTGAAAAAAAAAACACTTGTTTTACACAATTACTTTAGAAAATAATTTGTTCAATAAACACATATTAAAAGACGGTCTTACAAGAACCAGCTAATATACTAAATACCAACCATATAAAAATTAATTAAAATATAAAATTAATATATTTAAATCTAGATTATAACAGATGAATGAATTAAGTAAATCAATAAACAAATTAAACCATAAAATATAGCATTTTAATAATATAATGTTTATTTAAATTGGTCCAATTAGTCAGATTTTATAAAGTATTGTTAATAACTATAAACCAGACTATAAATACACAAATTAATTAAGGGAAAAATTAATAAACGAAGATATTAAAATACAAAAGACAATTAAGGAAGAGTAAGACGAAAACAGTTGTACTCAAATACTTCAAAATTTAATTTGTTCAATAAATACATATTAAAGACGGTTGTACAAAAACAGCTAATATAGTAAATGCCAAACATATAAAATTTACTTAATATAAAAATAATATATTTAAACCTAGATTATATCAAATTAATTAATTAAAAGTAAATCAACAAACACATTAAACATTAAAATATAGCATTTTAATAATATAATGTTTTTTTTTATTAGGTCAATTAGTCAGATATTTTGATGACTTATAGCGTTATTGCCCACTGTAAGTCAAATGTTTGTATATCATTTTTGCATATTAAAAAATAAATTTGACCATGAATTGTAATGACACACTGCCTCCGAAACGTTCATCCTTCATAAAAAAATTTTTTTAACCGGGTTCAATTGTTTCAGCTTTTCGCATCCGAAAAAGCATTTTGAGAGGTGTTTTGATAGTTCAGAGCCACCTTACAAGCAAAAAGCTAAATACAGAATGCCGTCATTTGAGCTACAGATAACTTCATGACAAACACAGTGCATAAAGTAAAGACAGGACTGGATTCAGAGATTGGCACACCTCTCCCTGCTGCTGCTTGGTGTGTGTGTCCATATATATATATGACCGTCTATTATAATGTCAATAGGCACTGCCAGTCTCTATTTGGGATTTGTTTACCAACAAATCAAAGTATGTGTATCACAAGCAATGTATCAAAATTCTACTGATTTCCTGAAATAAACTTTAGAACTTCATTTCGGGATAATCCAGCGCAGCTCTTTGATAACGAGCTGAACTCCCCTTCCTCTCTATGTAGGCTAGTATTAAATTAACACGATGTTTCTATTTCTACTTTAGAGAAAAGAGGAGAACAAAGTATCACTGCTTGAACTTACTTTGAAATGTAAAGGATTGATTAGTGTCAAGGTTTGTTTATATGACGAATATTTTGCATAGGAATACAAAAAAACACACATACGAACATTTCGGACTTCAGTGTGCAAAGACCTGAAAGGTAAACAAAAGAAATGAAAATAATAAATAAAATTAACGCAAATGAATAAACAAAATAAAAATGTATACAGGTCCACCATAACTACCATAAGCACAAAGTCGAAATCCTCAAGCCATTCAATTACATTTCTAAACCCAATTGAGCCAAGCGCAGTCACTAGTGGAATCCCAAGACAGTGACAGTCACAATTCCCAATTTATGCCTTCTAATTCAGCCGAACGCCGTGTCTAACGAAACACACAAACTGCTTGACAGGGAATCTGAAGTGCTCAGCAGGTGCAAGACTCTCCCTGATTTAAAAGGGTTATGGTATCAGACAAGCATGATTGAACATCTCGCAGTAAAGAAAGCGCAATGCATGATCCAGGAAAGCAGCGGCGGTACACAGACGAGAGAGAGAAAGAGACGCTCTTAATGAGAGGACACTGTGAGAGAGGGCAGCGATGGCCCCTGCTGAGGTGGGGTTGACACATGGCAGACCCCCCGCTCTCGCCAGTCTTGTTAAAAGGTCACACCTTGGTGACCATTACTAATGCACCAGCGATCTCCTTCATTACTGCCTTCTCCTTACCATCACACCTGACAAAGTGCAAGCTGCTTTTTTCAGCTCGGCCTTCTGTTTTTCCTTCCCATTTGCGAGACAATACAACACCGCGGAAATAAAGAGATCAGTCAGATGGACTTTATGAAAGATGAAGGAAAGCAGTGCATTCGGAGGAAAGTCGCAGATTAGTTGGGGTTAAAGTGTAGAGAGCCGGACAGCATGGAAGAATAGAGGAAGGGGTCTCAATTATAAATGTGACGTAAGCATATAAACGGGGGTGGAATAATGCGCTCCCACAGAAAAACTTAATAGGAGAATGTGCACAGCTTTAAGTAAATCGAGTTAACATAAAGGTCCCTTGAAGCAGTTTTTTGTTCGAAGTTTGACGTAACCGCAAAAATAAATAGAAGGTGGGACATAGAATAGCTCCTTCTCTTTACAAAAAACAGCTAATAGCGTTTCGTTTTTAATCACAGCTCAGCCAGTGAGAGTGGTTGAGTGCAAATGAGTCTTAAAGGGGGTGCAGCGTGTCAGATACTACAAAGCATTTGATTGGTCAGAAGAAGGAAATTGGTTCCATGAAGAAAATTTTTGATCCATTTAGGTGGAAATGACAAACTGCAAGTTTTCGATGTTTATATCAGTTTTATATTAATTTTGGCAATGTTTTAAAGCACGCTACCTAATAAATACCCTTAAAACTAAAATCTAAATTTTTTTATATAAATATTTTTAATTTCACGAAACCTTTAACTTAAATATTCACTTGATTGGCCACTTTATAGCATCATATAAGCCATACTCATTAATAAACAGATACTTATTCTCCATACTTTTAGGTAGGGATGTTCAGATTGGGTCTCGTGAGCTGAAATCAGGCCCGATTACACTGTTTCAGACTCGATTGGAATTGGACATTACCTAAAGATCAGGACTCAAATATTTATGTATATTCTTATTATCATTTAACACATATATAGTGCTGCAAAGGCACAGAGTTAGACCTCTTTCCTGACTTCACACAGAAACACCAATGCATGCGGCATGACATCACTTTGTTGCAGAGATGTTATTGGTTGAATGCCAGCAAAGTAGAACACAGAAGCAGCTTGAAGGGGAAAGCGAGAGTATGTCTGCGGTCTGGAGGTATTATAAAGTTGATGACGACAACATGGCCAGAGCAAACTGTAAGATATGTAAACTTGGGATTGCCATCTGAGTATTTTAAGTTGCGGTGTTTGTTTTTATATTAGATTTTTTTTATATTTACTGTTGCACTGAAGTTTAAAATTGAAGAATTTATGTTAATTATTACTTGATGGTTCAAGCTACCTCACAGAAGGGTTAGGTTGTTGAATGTTAAAATAAGGTGAATTAAATAAAAAAATACGGAACATCCTGGATCTGTTTCTTCACTCCTCTTTATTCTTTTTTTTGTGATATAGAAGCATCACATCGGGTTTCGATATGTAGATACCCAAATCAAATGACTCGGACTCGAGGGCAAAAAAAATCAGATCAGGACATTCTTTTAGGTATGTTTCTATGCAAACATTTTATAAATGAGACCCCAGATCTTTAAGCACGCATGCATGTTTTTGTGTGATTGTATGCTTGTGTGTGATGATATGTACCCTCTGGAGTGGAGCCAGGTTTATGGGAACCCGTAGAGCTGCTTTTGCTCCTCCTGCTGCTGTCGCTGTTGACCGACAGGCTGGAGCGAAGCTTTTTCTGCACACGGTGAGAGACAGGTGATGGGAGCTTCCTGGGTTCTGAAGTGTGGATAGATGGGGGAGGCTGTGTGACCCCACGGGGTGTGCCATGGCCGTTGCTTAGCACCATGTGTAGGCCATTCTGTTGCCTGGAAGCCTCTGCATCGACAGGATGCTGCAGAGATGTTGCTGGCTGGGGCAAAGGCTGAGGCTGAGCTGTAAAAAAGAGACACAGATCAGTAATTGTATGAGAACAGCTCTACACTAAATCATTAGATGGCTTTTATGATCATTTAAAATGTGAAAGAAAAAAAACATTTTGTAAAACATTATTCAAAAGCTTATGTAAATTATAAAAATAAACTAAAAATGTGTATTTAACAAATATATACAAGGTTTACACAAGACCATCAAAGGTTCTATCATGGCAATTAAACTATACTGTATATTCTGGAATCCATTCCAATCCATGGGTGGAGCTAAACTGAACTGGCACACTGGAACCTGAATTGGCACACTTTGTTCAATGCAACACTCTGTTTGGTGGAATTTTCTACACAGCAAAAATGTTATTGTAGTATTTTCAGAATGAGATCTACTATTTACAGGGTTGCCTTATTTATTCCTTAAAAAAAAGAGGTCTGACTTCAAAGGTTTTCAGTATGGATGCAATGAAATCAATATTCTGAGTCAAAACCAAAATGGGATTGTTTTTAATTGACATTAAAAACCTGGGTGAAAATTCAGGATGCATGTACCCAAAGTCCCTTTAAATCAAGTCATTTCACTCAGTGGCCATCTTTGAAACGCCTCTCAGACAGTATGCTCTGTCATCTGTCAGAATGGGGAGCAGAAAATTCTCCAAACCTGTTTGCCAAGCTTACGATTACATAACATACTTGGAATCACCAATAAAATTAAACAACCGTCTCATAAGTTTTATTTTTAAACGTTTTAATCAAACAAAATCCCTGTTTTTTTTGGTAGCCCGAACTAATGTGCATATGCACTCGAAAGAACAGAGATCACGACACCAACCTCATTTATAGCCGTTCTACACATTATCATCCTCTGGATAATGCTTCAACTGATCACGCTGCTCCTCCGAAATAATACACAACTTGACAGCGACTTTTTGTTTACAAGTTTGTGGGCGTTTGAGTAGCTGCTGTCAGTCATGTAATGTGCATTTGACAGGACGAACTGCACCTCGCGTTCGTTTCATACAAATTACAATTATTTCAAAGTGCACTTGGTTCATTTGAAAAGTAGAGTCTTGAAGCTTTATGTGGATATATTTTCCATGTCTGTAAAGCAAGTATTTACAAGAGATTCCAGTGTGTTTGTTGATCACCAAACTGTCGTAAAAGCTCACATCTGATCCGAGCTTCTCCCTAGAGAAATATCAGTCTATAGCAATCGATGATTGGCTCCTGTAATAGTAGACGAAGCTTCATTGACATACTGACCATTACACTTTTCCACCTTTTAAATCTATACAAGTGAGACGTCTTGTGTATTCTACAGTCTTTGGCTTAACTGAACACTTGAAGCTTAAAATACTTAACGTAATAAAAAATTATTAAAAAGTAATATTGCAAGACTTTTAAATTTAACTCAAATTATACTGCTTTTAAAAATCACAAGCCAATAAAATGACCAGTCAGGTGGAAACATTTATATATTATTAATTATTGTATATATTAATAATACATTTAAATATGCATTCTAAACATTTCTACTTCTGCTGAGATTTACAGTTGTTAGATTCACAATATGACAAGTCACCTAGTCCTCCCAAAAGACATGGAAGCACTGTGATTCATGAATGCAACCGGCGCTGAGAACTTGCAGTGTTCATGCACATCACACACATGAGGTATGTGTGGCCTGAACCTAGAGACTGATGCAAAAATAGTAATGGCAAAGTGAGTAAGTGACACTAGCTGGGAGTTTTTATGCATTCTCCTTCAGGAAATGCACCTCATGTTTATTGGGCTCCTTTGAATTATTCATCATCTTTCAGAATTTCCTGGATTTTTTCTTGCCTTCATACAACAACCTCTGCATTTTGTCTGGTGTGTGGTAAGGCACAAACATATGATCTTCTAAGAAAGCCAGTGAAATGAGTTCTCTCTTAATTACTTTTTTTTCTTTAGGTGGGAGGTCCAATCTGACTGTGCCATTATTGTTAACAAGAGAAGGAAACCAGTCGGCCTCTTTATAACAACATATCACCCTGGGAAGACGCTGACGGGAATGTAAAATAACACAATTAAAAACAGGCCATGGCAGCCTCATCAGCCAGCTGTCCATCTGCATGTACACTCCATCCAGCAAACAGGAGCGCTCGCACTCTCAAGCACATGTAGGGACTCAACAGGAGATGCTCTAAGGGCTATCAATAGGCTTAATTTAATTATCATTCAGTTTATTTAAACATATTTTATAAACTGTACACAAGTTGTAGAGCTGGTCACTATAGAACTATAGAAGAATTGTTTTTAGTAGTAAAATCAGAATAATTCCATCATTTAATTAATGAAATTATTTTATCTCTGACTTTTTTTGTATTTTTAAAGAACACATCACCTACTGAATGCAATGTATAACACTGTATGAATGCTACACTAAACCCTTTTTTTTGTGTGTGTTTTAACCATTCAAATTATCATAAAGAAAACACTGAAGTCTTCTCAACCCCTCACTCACATAATCCCTGGCTATTTCAACATGTAATGTAATTCAGTGAAACACTGTGATCATAGTGTATACAAAATTATCCCAACTTTGAATTAATTCCAAACAGAGTCATAAGTTAATGTTGTAAAATTACATACATATTGCAAACAAACAAATCGCAATTTGTTTTTCCAATATCATATTAATACTTAAGTCAGTAATCTGTTTTATTTATTAAATGGCATTTTGCTCTTATTCAACAACTCTTCAATGTCACTACTTGTGTACTAAGCTTTCAGAAATGTATACAAGCAACAACAGTTATTAGAAAGCAATAATTTATTAAATGATGTTTGTACGTCAGGTCAGTCCACCCGGATCAGCCCAAATGTTAAGTGTATTGCTTTAGGGCACAGCAGTGCTGGTTTATAGATCCTTCTGTTGTAACATCTTGAACCAGACCTGATCTTTAACCACAACATTACATTACCTTTGGCTTTGCCAGACTGCCTCAAAAGCAGCCCAGTAAAGGAACGCATCGCACATGCATCTTGCAACACATTGCCAGAACAACAGACAAGAGGATGTTGTGGGCATCTGGTGCGCACTGATAGGATCACACGTGCCCGACGAAAGCCCAAAGGCCAAAGCAACCCAAAAGAAAAGTTCCCCCCTTAATGAAATATAAATGCTGCCTTCAACCCAAGGTATGATATGTAATAAAAATTGAATAAGCGCACTAAGCGCAAAAACAAGCATTGTCTCGCAAACGGTGATTGTACACAAACTGACAGGCTGCATTAAAACACCATGTTATGGTGCGGAAGGAAGGGAGGGAGGGGGAAAAAGCGAAAACAGTCCAAATTGGTCTTCTAACCGCTCTGCTTCCAACATATCAACAACTGTTGAGAGTGTACATTTGTAGTTGAATAATACATGGTATTCCTCTACACACTCTGTCAAACACATCACAGGCAAACAGGGGGTGAGTGCTTCTTGACTGTCTAAGCAGCATCCCAATTTGGTCCCCTGGATCTGACAGCCTCAAATATCCTGGGAGCATTTTTAAAAGGCCAGTGTTTGATGGATTCATGAAGAACACACAAATATAATTGCCATTTGTCACCGCGTGTTCGGCGTACGCCCTACGCGGGGACGGCGAGCCGGGACACCCAGGAGAGACGCCGCGCCACCGTGGTGGCGTCGCTTTCTATGTAAAACTGTGGATAAACACCCCTTTTGCCTTGGTGTCACAGAAAATAGCTCCGCTGGAAGAATTCAAAATTGTACCCCAAAGACGTGGAAGCAGAGCATGGCGGACCTCCCAAGAACGAATATGTATGAACGTCAACGGCGTGGAGCGGCATAAACAAGACGGTGAAAATTCGGTCAAGCAGGAGGGATGTCGGAAAGGAGGTGAGACGGGCCAGGATGTTCTCTCATTTGCGCTTCTCTCTATGGAGACTGAAAGGTAAAGAGAGAAAGAAAAAATAGAAAAGTAGGTCCCTTTATTTTTGCGGCTCCAGGCCTTTTAATATTTCATCCGGAGAGTGGAGCTGTTTGCTGTGCCCCATTAGGACGCCCATCAAACGGAACATACATTAATTCACTTGTCAACTCATGTCATGCAGCTAAACAGCCCCCATCCATTTCTTATCATCATCTGCTAATGGATAACAATCATTACCTGTACAAAAGAGTTGGCCAGCGAAAAAAAAAAAAAAGCAAAGTACGACTGGCCGACGAAGAGAATGTGAGGGTCAAAAAAACAGCAGAAGTTCAACTGATTACATTTGTGAAAAATTCTCTTTAAACGGTGTGAATTTTGATTTCCTTCATGTTTCCTTTGAATGGGTTGACTGAAGGTACAACTTTCAACAAGAATAATAAGCAATTCTTGGAGGCTAAATTGATTGACAATGTGGTAGTGCAAATGCTTCACATTAGTTGTTACAGCAAATAACACAATCTTTACACAGCTAATAACAAATAGAAGGCTTGGAAGTACATATATTTTATTATTATTTTTTTTTAAATGACACAATTTCTATCATTTAAAAAAATAATAATTTAATTTTACTATTAACAAGTGACTTATTATCAGCCTATTAATAAGCTATTGTATGTTTATTATTACTTATCAAGCACATGTTTTGAAGGCTCTTACTCTTCCTATTAGGGCTGCACGGTGTATAGTTTTAGCATCTATATCGCAATGTGTAAATGCGCAAGATTCACAACAGATCTGTAATGTGCAGCCTGGATTACACTTCATCATCATCTATATACAGGCTATCTATAATCCAGACGCAATTGAGGAGTCATTTCAGTTTAACCATCAAATTGAGAAAGTTTATCAGTTGTGTGTGTTTTTAAGGTCTGTAAGCATTTTTAGTGACTTTAAAGCATTTGGGCACAAGGAGAAATTGCATTTTGAAGCTTTAACAAAAATACATTTAATTATGTATTTAGTGAAGACTATAAAACATATGTTATGTATATAACGCATGTAATTATGTATATGAATGCATGCA